TTGATATTTTTTACCTATGGGCACATAGAACATTCTATTGCGAACACATTGACACAAAAATGAATGACGTACATAGAAAATTAATGTCATGAGAGTGAAATAAGTATAAACTTTCAAAGCGCCGTGCGTCGTCCCGTCACCGATACCGGGTAACAATTTCACCACTTCCCACACTCTTGCGGGCGGGCCGCATCATTATTCTACGCTTATATTCATATCACCGTGTTGGGAATTTCATTGCGAGTCCATTGATACCAAAATTAACGCTGTAGAATAAGTGTGGAGGTGATTACAATCCCAAGAGTAAAAACATTTTGTTGCTGATGGGCGCTCACGGCGAGTCATCTTCGTAGTTATTTATTTGGTGCTGGTATCCCTATACGTTTCGTGACTTTTTTTACTGATGTTCTTCTAGAGAATTTTATTGCGAACACGTTGGTACCAAAATGAAATACGTAGCATGAGAACTAAGGTCAGAAGAGTAAAAAGAGTATACACATTTTTGTTTTTACGCTTAAGCGATAAAAACGCAGCGCGCACATTCGGTTGGCTGAGTGACCTTTGCGGAGAGCTCGAAAGTGTTAATAGCAGAGGGAGGTCTTAGAAACTCCTGTTTAGAAAAATACAGCTGTGGTACTATATTATGCCTTCAGTACAACTTCTACACCCAACCTGGACAGGCGTCGAAGTCATCTTGAGGTTATCTTGAGTTGATTTCGGGGCTTTAGTGTCCCCGCGGCCCGGTCCTTGACCAGGCCTCCACCCCCAGGAAGCAGCCCGTGACAGCTGACTAACACCCAGGTACCTATTTACTGCTAGGTAACAGGGGCATTCAGGGTGAAAGAAACTTTGCCCATTTGTTTCTGCCTCGTGCGGGAATCGAACCCGCGCCACAGAATTACGAGTCCTGCGCGCTATCCACCAGGGTACGAGGCCCCCCCTCGTAGCCCATAGTTCACATCATTGTCTCAGCTACACACACACTGCAACTGCAGCAGTTACAAAGTCATAGTCTGTGTCCATTGCTTTTTTTCTGGCCAAAAACTGGACAGTAGTACCAATACCATACTGTACAGTAGTACCAATACTATACTTCTCTGTTAGCAACTTGACCTTCCCAGTCATGATTACGTTTCTTATTTTATTTTTATTTATTTATTGATATATACAAAAGTTGTTACATTCTTGTACAGCCACTGGCATGCATAGCATTTCGGGTAGGTCCTTAATTCAAATTTTCCCCAGAATACAACCCGCCAAATCGTTTAACAGCCAGGTACCCATTCACTGCTGGGTGAACAGAGACTACAGTTAAGGATTGGCGCCCAGTCAATACCTCCCGGCCAGGATATGAACCCAGGCCAATGTGCTCGCGAAGTGCCAGGCGAGTGTTTTACCACTGTCTCACGGGGACTGCTTCTCCTCGGCAGATAAGAATATTTCTTACATAACTCGGCACTTATTCATAGTAATGCAGTTCATCTTGCTCTTGCCTGATGTACCTTTACCACTCACACCAGATCACATGGTTGTAACTCACAAATAATTACTGTATAAATCCAAAGAAAACTTTGAACATGTTGGATTACTGATTGTTCAAGACTATGCTTAAGCACAAGGAAAACCGTGGTAGATTTACATGCATTCAAAATAGGTCTTGTTTATCTATATTACTTTTTCATAACTATTATTGCAAGCTACGTCATCAGATCGGTTATGACTGAAGTTTTGTTTACTCTAAGCCAAATCTTGAGCAATTATCAGAGCATTGGATACACTCTTGGAACACTACTCGAGTTAGACGTTCCTCTGGTTGGTCTTCCCCTTGTGGTGGTTCTAGAATAGTGATGTCATGAGAATCTGGTCATGCACGGTACTCAAGCAGTTATTGACTCACTTGGGGTCCTCATCAAATTCATAAAAAGTGACTAAATAGCTGGATAATGTTTGTGATTATAGTGTTTGTATTAAACTTTGAGTAGCAGTTATCTTTTGAAGTGGCTTCACAAAATCACAAGATTAAAATTAACATTTAATGAATAAATTTACTAATATACATGGTGCTTAAATTTACTCTCGATTAATTTCAGTCAAAGCTTAATCACGCTAGAGAGACTTGGGACCTCTACCCACCAATCAGTTCCTGCAGGAACAATCTCCCTTCCCGCCAAACACATACAGTACACCGAAACTACGACGTTGGTACAATGTTCGAACAAGTTTTAACACCTTCTAACCAGTTACTACAACCAATATAGCAAGTTGTAAGAACGTTCTAATACGGCATAAACACGTTAAGCCAAGATGTAACAACTTTATTACAAGTTGTAACAAGCGGAAAATAGAGACAGTTTCGGTTTGTGTTTCCAGGGTTAACACTCAGGACAAACAATCATTAATTCAGTTTCTTCACTCACTGCCGGTGCTCAACTGGGACAGTGAAACTTACCACCACTCAGGAAATCACAACACTGTACATGTGCAATAAAGACAACAATCAGCCACTCGGCTGCCTTGTGCAGTGCTCTGTTTCAGAATGATCTCGATCATGCTCCTAGCTACAAACCTGGAATCCATAGCATTGTTTCACAATAAGCCAATCGGGTGTATGCATTTCTACTGACTTCCTTGCGTAAGGCTTGTGATATATGTCATTAGTCACTGGAACGTCACCAATTTCCATTGACATATTAACCTTCTCGGCTCTACCTGTGGTGTAAAACCACAGCTTCTAGCTTCTTAGGACTACTACCTTTCCTTTTGGCGTTTCTCTACTCGTAATGCTTCCTTATGTCCTTGGCTAATTTCCTCGATTAGTACCTAAAGGTCATTATATAATAATAATAATCAGTCTTGTAGTAGCAGTACCTTCACAAAGACACTAGACACACTTTATCTACCCGCGGGTTCGATTCCCGCACGAGGCAGAAACAAATGGGCAAAGTTTCTTTCACCCTGAATGCCTCTGTTACCTAGCAGTAAATAGGTACCTGGGAGTTAGTCAGCTGTCACGGGCTGCTTCCTGGGGGTGGAGGCCTGGTCGAGGACCGGGCCGCGGGGACACTAAAAAAGCCCCGAAATCATCTCAAGATAACCAAGATACCCCATTATTATAGGTTCCAAGACATTATGCACTCATAGGGGTTTATACTCAAGGATAGACACACTGCATGAACTCAACATAGAGAAGCACAGTTAGGCGAGTACGTACGTACGTACGTACGTACATACATACATACATACATACATACATACATACATACATACATACATACATACATACATACTGGACAGTAATATAACCTGCTGGGAATTACTTTATCATCTGGTAGTGCAGATTTCCCTGCCGCTATTTGGTCGGTACTTTGGAGTGTCCGCTATACTGGCCAAAAGATAGTTGAAAACAGTCTAATATATCTATAGTAGTTGTTTGGGTATTAGCACCACAGTGTTTATATAACTATGCATGACGTGCTTCTGAACCCCCAATATGTTTTGGGTAATAACTCTTGAGGTATTGTATTTACAGAAGATGTTGGCATTATTGTATAGAGCAATATCTCTCTTCAGTGGAGTCATAAAACAGTGACTTTAGGCATGCTGTTATGTGAGAACAAAATGGGCATAACATGGTTGATTATATAATGGATATGTAATGTATTTACTTCCTAATACTTGAAACTGAGTAACTCCTTTTTCTTGCTTTCGCTTTGTCTTGGAACTTTCTTCAGATTATTACATCACCATCTTCAGTGCTTAATTCAGTCGACTCAAAACTGATTTTCCTCGGTTTGATTCCCAGTCAGGGCAAGACATTAGGTCACATTTCCATTAACCCAGTGCCTCTGTTCACCTAGTAGAAAATTATTACAGATTATTACAGCATTATCTTCTTGAGGTTATCTTGAGATGATTTTGGGGCTTAGTGTCCCCGCGGCCCAGTCCTCGACCAGGCCTCCTTTTTGTTACACATCCCCATGAAGCAGCCCGTAGCATCTGTCTAACTCCCAGATAACTATTTACTGCTGGGTGAACAGGGCATCAGGGTGAAAGAAACTGCTCATTTGTTTCCACTTCCACCGGGGATCGAACCCTGAACCTCAAGACTATGAATCCGAAGCACTGTCCACTCAGCCTTCAGGCCCCTAGGGTACCTGGGAGTTAGCCATTATTGTGGGGTGGTGCATCTTTGGTCACCAGTCTACTAGGAAGGCTTTGATTGACTAACAGGCTTCTTGTTCTTAACAATGAAGAATTAATAAGACATTTTATCTTGCAAAGAATTTTTTTCTTCACATTTTTATATATTTTAATATTTAATATTTATAACAATTTTTTTGATATGCAGTATTATTATTTCTTTGGACTGATGTATCCCCATCCCATGGAAATGGGAAATGAGATACTGTATATATAATGCATTTTGTATAGCGTTACTAGTGTGTAAGTGAAGGCAAGGTAATTATCCAGCCCGTCCTCTCGAGGTGTTACAATGTAACAAATTATATACCGGTACTAAAGTGACCTGACCTGACCTATCCTACTCTACGAACCCGTGCATAGAAAACATAATTATTTGTCAACTTTGTGATCTGCTATGATTTATAGTATGTCATATTTGAAAGTGGGGATTTTGACATCAAGATACGTACTATGTATTATTTAAGAGAATAGGTTGAATTGTCAGGGAAAAGCTCCAAGTCAATACAAATACAGTACATAGAACTTGGAAGGGATATGAGAACCAGGAGATGGGATAGGATGGACAGAAGGAAAGGTGCCCAACACTTCAACCATTGTTCCTCGGGTTCAAAATACCACATGTTTGCACACGATTATAAAAGGTGCTCAACCCTCTCCCTATACACATGGAGAGATCTGGGAGTATCATTTGTTACAAATATTTATGTTTAGAAATCTGTTGTAGAATCCCGAGTGACTCTGGCGTGAAATTTTCAATTCCCATTGTGTGGACGAGTGACACGGTCATTTCATTTCAGCGTGAAAACATCTGGACAGTGCCAAACCTGCTGTGTGTTGGTCGTATTGCCCTCTCCCCTCTTCTCGTCCACTTGGTTATTTCCGCCAACTACAGCTGGGCTCTTGGCCTCTTTATGTTTGCTGGCGTCACCGACCTGGTAAGAATCTTTTGACCTCGTTTGCCACAAATTTTGTTATGGAAAGATTTGAAGGATGTTTCAATATATGGTATTAGAAATGCAGTTTGTATGTATTTATGTATGTATATATGTGTGTGTGTGTGTGTGTGTGTGTGTGTTTGTGTGTAATTACAGGATGAGAGCTACGCTCGTGGTGTCCCATCTTCCCAGCACTCTGTCATATAATGCTTTGAAATTACTGACGGTTTTGGCCTCCACCACCTTCTTACTTAACTTGTTCCAACCGTCTACCATTCTATTTACAAAAGTGAATTTGCGTGTATTTCTCCGGCAGGTTTGTTTCGTTAGTTTAAATCTAATTCTAGTCTAATTCTAAAGTCTAATTAATTCTAAGTCTAATTAAATCTAAATCTAGTTTAAATCGTTAGTGGTGTTAAATTATGGTGTTTCCTATTTCTGCATCTCTGTTTTGGTATAAATGTTTTTGTACCTTTATCATATATTTCACAAAACTTGACATACATCTCATTCACTTCCTTGCCTAGCAACAAGTCTGTCCAATTACACTCACCAAAAAAATTTCTAAGATCGCCATAATGTCCTCTCCTGAAGTCAGGTTTTTCAACTGCTTCAACCTCCTTATTTTCTTCCAGATTATAACGCATTGCATACTTTATTCCCAAAAAGACATGGTCACTTTTACCCAAGGGAGGAAGGTACTGAATGTCAAATATCTCTTCCTCCTTCCTGGTAAATATCAAATCTAGCATGGAGGGAACGGTCGGCCGAGCGGACAGCACGCTGGACTTGTGATCCTGTGGTCCCAGGTTCGATCCCGGGCACCGGCGAGAAACAATGGACAGAGTTTCTTTCACCCTATGCCCCTGTTACCTAGCAGTAAAATAGGTACCTGGGTGTTAGTCAGCTGTCACGGGCTGCGTCCTGGGGGTGGAGGCCTGGTCGAGGACCGGGCCGCGGGGACACTAAAAGCCCCGAAATCATCTCAAGATAACCTCAAGATAACGTCCCCGTCCCTCATCCTCGTAGCTTGTTTAACATGTTGATATGTTAATTTTTCCTAATTTTTCTGTCCTGTCTCCAAATTGAGTAGCCCCTTGGGAATATGACCCCATTTAAAATAACATCTTCAAGTTTTGTCTCCGTGAGTGCAACAATGTCTGGTGTCTGCAGCTGTATTACTGTATCTATTAGCCCATCGTGATATCTATCCCATCAGTCATGATAGATATCCCATCGTGATATCTATTATGATATGTATCTATGATGCCTTTCTGGCATCAGTCAAGGTGCATAGATTTCTTGCCTACTGGGGACCACGAGCCAGAACCTGGCCCCCTCAGAGAGGCACGAGGAGCAATGGCCTATAAAAAAAAACATATACTTGGGAGCATTCTATGTCTGCCATCGACTGGGTCTGGCACCCAGAAAGATAGGCGCCCCAAAACAAACCTCTATTCTGGTGAAAATATTGCTACCAAAGGCCAAACGAGTGGACAGAACTCCCCAAACAAAAATTAACAAATGAGCATGACATCTCATGCATGACATCGCACGCAGGCAGTAGGCGGTGCCTACTTCACACTGAAGTAGGTGGTGCACTACTGCCTGCAGGATGAGTACGGGGTACACTACCACCCGCAGGATGGGTACATGGTGCACTACCGCCCACAGAATGAGTACGGAGTCCACTACCGCCCACAGGATGGGTACGGGGTACATAATACTTGAACTAAATCAGACAGGCTCTTGCTGTCTGTTAATGAACCAATAAATTATGCTGCTAGCACATATATGAGATGTTAAAGATGATAAGTAAAGTTTTATATAGGTGAAGTTTGATCAAGTTATCTAATTCATAATTGCTTAGCATTGATAACCTAATCCATGCACATGATATGGAGTTGCCAACATTTTGGTCAATCCTGGACCTTTATCAAGTTGTGATAACTTGACAAAGATCCAGTGCAAACGAAAATGTCATCACTTGTATTTAATTTCATAAATATGGGATGGGTTTTATTTCACCCAAATTATTGTAATTCCTTCTCTGTATAAGTATTTATAATATCCAAAATTAATAGACTTTTAATCCAATATTACCATATCCTGTCTTTCAATAGGCAGGCAGATATAATTGCACACTTTGTACCCGTAGCTTGACGGTTGGATCGCACGAACTTTCCCCGGACAAGCCTCTAATCTGGGAAGCTTTCTTGACCCTTTGGCAGACAAAGTTTTGGTAGCTCTGTTGTTCCTCTCTCTTACTTATGTTGGAGCCATCCCACGTAAGTTCATCATACTGTTGTTTTAAGTTATACCTGTCAAGTATATTTATGTGATATGCTCTACAGTTTTTAAATAATGTGTGTGTTTGTATTCTGTACAATAGTTTGTTACCTATTAAATATATATAAATTTCCAATGTTGAGCAGCTGAACCTGTGGATATTGTGTATTAATATATTGGTTTAAAACACTAGTTTTAACATTTTTAAAGGAGAAAGTGGAGATGTGCATGTCGGTGTTCGTGTGTGTTTACGAGGGAGAGTACGCAGGTGGTGTGAGTGAGTGGTATGGCTGCCCACCGCACAGGGTATGGTGGGCATGTGTGTGTACGAGGGAAAGTACGCAGGTGGTGCGAGTGGTATGGCTGCCCACCACACAGGGTATGGTGGGCATGTGTGTGTACGAGGGAGAGTACACAGGTGGTGTGAGTGGTATGGCTGCCCACCACACAGGGTATGGTGGGCATGTGTGTGTACGAGGGAAAGTACGCAGGTGGTGTGAGTGGTATGGCTGCCCACCGCACAGGGTATGGTGGGCATGTGTGTGTACGAGGGAGAGTACGCAGGTGGTGCGAGTGGTATGACTGCTCACCACACGGGGGGGGGATGGAGGGGGATGAAGTGTCAGAGATTTTTATATACATTAGAGTGCTAAAAGTAAAAATTCTACCTATTTTAAGTTGGTGCCATGTGATAAAAAATTCATCCATGAAAATTCTCAGAAATCTGCTTTTATCGCAGAAAAAGTCCCAAAAGCCAGCTTTTACCACAGAAATAAATCAAAAGCCAGCTTTTATCATGGAAAAATCTCCAAAAGCTAGCATTTTATTACTAAAAACACCCTAAAAGCCAACTTTTATCACTGAAAGCCAAAAAAATCAACTTTCATCACTGAAAAAGCCTCAAAAGCTTTTATCACTGACACAGCCCCAAAAGTCAGCTTTTATCACTGCAAAGGCCCCCAAAATTCGGCTTTTATCACTGACAGAGCCCGAAAAGTCAGCTCTTATCACTGAAAAAGCCCCCAAATTCAACTTTTATTACTGTACTAACAAATCTCCAAAATTAAACTTTTACTACTAACAAAGCCCCAAAATTCAGCTTTTATCACTGAAAAGCCCCAAAAGTCATCTTTTATCACTGTCAAAGCCCCAAAAGTCATCTTTTATCACTGTCAAAGCCCCAAAAGTCATCTTTTATCACTGAAAAGCCCCAAAAGTCATCTTTTATCACTGTCAAAGCCCCAAAAGTCATCTTTTATCACATCTTTTATCACTGTCAAAGCCCCAAAAGTCAGCTTTTATCACTGTCAAAGCCCCAAAAGTCATCTTTTATCACTGTCAAAGCCCCAAAAGTCTTTTATCACATCTTTCATCACTGTCAAAGCCCCAAAAGTCATCTTTTATCACTGTCAAAGCCCCAAAAGTCATCTTTTATCACTGTCAAAGCCCCAAAAGTCATCTTTTATCACTGTCAAAGCCCCAAAAGTCATCTTTTATCACTGTCAAAGCCCCAAAAAAGTCAGCTTTCATCAATAAAAAAGTCCCAAATTAATAAATGTATAAATATTTAGTGATTGGTATTCATAAGACATTATTCTAAAGCTTTTGATGTTTTGACTGTATTTTTTTCTCATATTTGAAGTACCGTTGACGGGGCTCATTATCTATCGTGATGTTCTAATTATTGGAGGAGCTTCATATGTACGCTACAAGAGTCTTCCCCCTCCAGTTAGTACATCTCTTTTTGTCGCTACGTTGTAGGCAACGCATATTTAGATCAGTTCCAGAATGTTTATATTGTTCAAGTCGCAATTAATACTGTGCTAAGATGATTTAGTGCAGATTTTTAATAAAGATTCAGCTATACTGCACAGTGATTTATAATTTGTTGCATTCTAAATGTTAACAATATTAAGTTATCACTATTTTTAACTTTTAAGACAAGTTTGTAAAATATTTTGGCATTAAACATGTTGTAGAGTTGCATATTTGATAGTGAAATGTGTATAATGTGTTGACAGCGAACGCTCACCCGCTACTTTGACGCCACACATGCTACAGCCAGGCTGGCGCCCACCACGTTGAGTAAGTTCAACACTGCCGTGCAGCTGGGTCTCATCACCGCCTCGCTCGCAGCGCCAGTCTTTTGCTTCTCCGACCATTATCTCCTCAAATATGTTTGGTAAGTCCAGGTACACTATTATTTGCAAGTTGAAATTTCTTACCAACTAGATTTCAGATGTAATTTAGTTTTGTATTGTGAAGAGTAGATTAATTGCAGAGAATAAATCAGGAGAATATAGCTGAAACATATAACCCAACCACACGTGTCAAAAGAAAGTGATGACATCCTGAACCTTATCACCGTTGACGGGGGCCGGCTGGGCCTGCGGGCCGCTCCAAGCAACAGCCTGGTGGACCAAACTCTCACAAGTCTAGCCTGGCCTCGGGCCGGGCTTGGGCAGTAGAACAACTCCCAGAACCCCATCAAGCAGGTATATGTGGGCCTGCGGGCCGCTCCAAGCAACAGCCTGGTGGACCAAACTCTCACAAGTCAAGCCTGGCCTCAGGCCGGGCTTGGGCAGTAGAAGAACTCCCAGAACCCCATCAACCAGGTATATGTGGGCCTGCGGGCCGCTCCAAGCAACAGCCTGGTGGACCAAACTCTCACAAGTCAAGCCTGGCCTCAGGCCAGGCTTGGGCAGTAGAAGAACTCCCAGAACCCAATCAAGTGGTTATCACGACTTGAAGCTTGAAGTGAAGATTGGTAATACTGTAATACGTAATTTTATTTACAAAATGCAGTGCTGTATTGGGAATTCAATTGTTGGAAAATTAAAATTAAAGGATCTGCAGTACTTCTAAGTACAGAAGTTCTTTTCAGAAGTTCTTCTTTTCTGTAAGAATGTTAACACTATCGCTCGCTTTGGACACCGCTCGTGTCCACTTTTTTCTCTCGAGTCCTAGCCTTGGACAGTGCTTGCGTCCAATACAAAATTTTTTGTTTAAAATTAATTTGTTATCCGATCGACTTCGGGATGGTTTCAAAATAAGCACCTTTAGAGTGCGCACAATTTGATACCAAAATGAAAGATGCAATACGAAACTTGATGTCAGAACACTTGAAAGATTATAAATACTTTTTGGTCAAAATTTTTAAATACTGTATTTGTTAAAATTCTATTTATTGTTCTATTATTATGGGACTAGTTTTAAAGTGCGTACCTTTACATTATGAGCAATTTAATACCAAAATAAAAGATGTAACACAAAAATTTATGTCAGAACACTGGAAAGATATAAATAATTTTGTGATGATGAGCATACAAAATTAAAATATTTGTTAAAAATTCCAGTTATTGTTCTATTATTATGGGACAAGTTTTAAAATACGCGCCTTTATATTGCGAACAATTTGATACCAAAACGAGACGTAATGAGAAAATTGATGTTATCAAACTGAACGAGTATACACATTAGGTAGTGGGTGTGATGATGTTCATGGGTAACTTTAGGCTTTGCTAAGGGGAGTCACGCTGGGCTTTTGGTCATTATATGCATATACACCTGCAGGGAATTTAATTGCGAACACATTGATACCAAAACGAACGACGTAGCACGAGAATTAAGGTGAGAAATCTGAAACGAGTATACACATTTTACTGATTTTGTGCGATCACGGGTAACTTTTGCCGACTTTAGACTTTGCTGTGGGGAGTCAAGCTTGGCTGTTGGACCTTATATGCATATACCTCTATAGGGAATAATATTGTGAACACAATGATAACAAAACGAACGATGTAGCACGAGAATTAAGGTGAGAAAACTGAAACGAATATACACATTTAGTGTCACCAAGCACTCGCCCGCATGCTCGCCTGCACCGCCAGGGCTACTTTGTGCATACGCGCGGAGTGCACACCCGGGGCGCAGTACAGTGTGTCCTCACTTGAACGAACTATATGGGGCGAAGCCGATTCGTTCCAGTGCGGAATTCGTTCCATCCGTCCGGCCCCAACAACCTTCTTATTTTTTTTTTTTTAAACATATGCCAGGACACATTAGTTTGTTTCTTTGTTGTGTGGTGCTTCATTATAATATCTTTCATGCTCTTTTGGTGTCGATAATAATCTGAGATGCGAGAATCACCATCCCCCACCCCACTCACACCATCCCCCACACCACCCACACCATCCCCCACACCACCCACACCATCCCCCACACCACCCACACCATCCCCCACACCACCCACACCATCCTCCACACCACCCACACCATCCCCCACACCACCCACACCATCCCCCACACCACCCACACCATCCTCCACACCACCCACACCATCCTCCACACCACCCACACCATCCTCCACACCACCCACACCATCCCCCACACCACCCACACCATCCTCCACACCACCCACACCATCCCCCACACCACCCACACCATCCCCCACACCACCCACACCATCCCCCACACCACCCACACCATCCCCCACACCACCCACACCATCCCCCACACCACCCACACCATCCCCCACACCACCCCACACCATCCCCCACACCACCCATACCATCCCCCACACCACCCATACCATCCCCCACACCACCCATACCATCCCCCACACCACCCATACCATCCCCCACACCACCCATACCACACCCCCACACCACCCATACCATCCCCCCACACCACCCATACCATCCCCCACACCACCCATACCATCCCCCACACCACCCATACCATCCCCCACACCACCCATACCATCCCCCACACCATTCCCCAACACACACCACCCACACCATCCCCCACACCACCCACACCATCCCCCACACCACTAACACCATTCGCCCCCACCACCCACACTCCCCACACCACCACCCACACACCCCACACCACCACCCACATCATCCCCCACACACCCCACACCACCCACACCATCCCCCACACCATCCCCCACATCATCCCCCACACCATCCCCCACACACCCCACATCATCCCCCACACACCCCACACCATCCCCCACACACCCCACATCATCCCCCACACACCCCACATCATCCCCCACACACCCCACACCACCCACATCATCCCCCACACCCAACCACATCACCCACACCAACCCACACCACACCACCCAAACCACACCACACCACACCATCCACGGGGTGTATTGAAGCAGCAGGCTTGGAAGTCTCAACTCGCCCGACAAAAAAAAAATGATGGGTTGACAGGTCTCCTCTCACACCTCCAGGACCCCCCCCACCCCCCAGGTACCCGGCCATACACACCACAATGCCAAGTCAGCTATTGTTTTCTACAGGAAACAATAAAACATGTTAATGATTAATAATGTGTATTAATACACGAAAATTAACATTTTGGCATAAATATTTTACAGCTAAGATTGAGATTTATAATGGAGTATGAATGAGAGGTTTGGCAGCCATGCGTGGTCACCACCCTTCTCTCTCCACTTCCACCTCCCCTGACAACACCTTCCACCACTGACCCCACCTGCCTCTTTCCACCACCTGCCTCCCCTGACACCGCCTGCCTCCTGCCTCCCTTGACCCCACCTGCCTCCCTTGACCCCACCTGCCTCCCCTGACCCCACCTGCCTCCCCTGACCCCACCTGCCTCCCCTGACCCCACCTGCCTCCCCTGACCCCGCCTGCCTCCCCTGACCCCACCTGCCTCCCCTGACCCCACCTGCCTACCCTGACCCCACCTGCCTCCCCTGACCCCACCTGCCTCCCCTGACCCCACCTGCCTCCCCTGACCCCACCTGCCTCCCCTGACCCCACCTGCCTCCCCTGACCCCACCTGCCTCCCCTGACCCCACCTGCCTCCCCTGACCCCACCTGCCTCCCCTGACCCCACCCCTGCCTCCCCTGACCCCGCCTGCCTCCCCTGACACCGCCTGCCTCCCCTGACACCGCCTGCCTCCCCTGACCCCGCCTGCCTCCCCTGACCCCACCTGCCTCCCCTGACCCCACCTGCCTCCCCTGACCCCACCTGCCTCCCCTGACCCCACCTGCCTCCCCTGACCCCACCTGCCTCCCCTGACCCCACCTGCCTCCCCTGACCCCACCTGCCTCCCCTGACCCCACCTGCCTCCCCTGACCCCGCCTGCCTCCCCTGACCCCGCCTGCCTCCCATGACCCCGCCTGCCTCCCATGACACCGCCTGCCTCCCCTGACACCACCTGCCTCCCCTGACCCCACCTGCCTCCCCTGACCCCACCTGCCTCCCTTGACCCCACCTGCCTCCCTTGACCCCACCTGCCTCCCCTGACCCCACCTGCCTCCCCTGACCCCACCTGCCTCCCCTGACCCCACCTGCCTCCCCTGACCCCACCTGCCTCCCCTGACCCCACCTGCCTTCCCTGACACCGCCTGCCTCCCCTGACACCGCCTGCCTCCCCTGACACCGCCTGCCTCCCCTGACCCCACCTGCCTTCCCTGACACCACCTGCCTTCCCTGACACCGCCTGCCTCCCCTGACACCGCCTGCCTCCCCTGACACCGCCTGCCTCCCCTGACCCCACCTGCCTCCCCTGACCCCACCTGCCTCCCCTGACCCCACCTGCCTTCCCTGACACCGCCTGCCTCCCCTGACACCGCCTGCCTCCCCTGACACCGCCTGCCTCCCCTGACCCCACCTGCCTTCCCTGACACCACCTGCCTTCCCTGACACCGCCTGCCTCCCCTGACACCGCCTGCCTCCCCTGACACCGCCTGCCTCCCCTGACCCCGCCTGCCTCCCCTGACCCCACCTGCCTCCCCTGACCCCACCTGCCTTCCCTGACACCGCCTGCCTCCCCTGACACCGCCTGCCTCCCCTGACACCGCCTGCCTCCCCTGACCCCACCTGCCTCACCTGACACCACCTGCCTTCCCTGACACCGCCTGCCTCCCCTGACACCGCCTGCCTCCCCTGACACCGCCTGCCTCCCCTGACACCGCCTGCCTCCCCTGACACCGCCTGCCTCCCCTGACACCGCCTGCCTCCCCTGACACCGCCTGCCTCCCCTGACACCGCCTGCCTCCCATGACACCGCCTGCCTCCCCTGACACCACCTGCCTCCCATGACACCGCCTGCCTCCCATGACACCGCCTGCCTCCCCTGACACCGCCTGCCTCCCCTGACACCGCCTGCCTCCCCTGACACCGCCTGCCTCCCCTGACACCGCCTGCCTCCCCTGACACCGCCTGCCTCCCCTGACACCGCCTGCCTCCCATGACACCGCCTGCCTCCCCTGACACCACCTGCCTCCCATGACACCGCCTGCCTCCCATGACACCGCCTGCCTCCCCTGACACCGCCTGCCTCCCCTGACACCGCCTGCCTCCCCTGACACCACCACAAATGATGCTAGCCACCTCACCAAGGCCTAACGTTCACACGACCTGTGCTTGTTTTATTGGTCTACTCAAAATTTATTCTAAATAGATATTAGTACAGTACGTAGGCTGTTAGAGGGAGGGATCCAGGAAACAAACCCCCCCTCCCACCCCCCCCCCCCCCCAATGGCTCAGGGAGCGACCGGCCGGCCACACAATGCCAGCTGTTATCTACACCCCAATTGTATTAAAAATTCTGTGAAAAGGAAATGTGTTCAAACTGTTTAAAATATGTACTGTATATATTACAATTTTCACCATTATTATTGCTCCAATATGACATTTTTCTAATAAAAAGGCTATTTTCAGTATAGATAATGCGATAATTATCATTAAATTGACTCTTGGCATCTGACGAGGAGAGGAGAGTGAGTGGTCTCTGTGGTGGAGGAATGAGGGTGGGGGCGAGGGAGCATGGAGGCGCCAGTCACGTGTTGCCTCTTGCCTCCTAGCAACAACTCTCTCACTAATGCCCCCTGACACCATTTTATCACCATTTTTATCACCTTTTCTCCCTAGAAACAATGGGTAAGGTTAATAAAACACTACATAACTGTTTACACTCTGGCGAATCATAGTTGATGACAGCCAGCTCCGACGCTCGGCCTCAGTGACCGCTTGGACGAACATTCCTCACTTAATCGAACATTTGTATGTTCCACTGAACATTTGGTACCGAATTTAATTTGTTCGGCTCTTCCGGGAATTCGATAGAGCGGGGTTCGTTAGTCTGAGGAAGCACTGTACTGTTAATAAAATAAAATATAATTATTTCAAAATACATACCTTATGTATAAAAGTTTTTGAAAATTAGGATTAATACTTCTGGACATTTTAGGAAATTTTTTGTACCTTTCAGGTGGCTGACAGCTGCAACAACTCTAAGCTCTGGCATCAGTTACATATTCTCAAGAGACACTTACAAAATCTTGGGTAATATGAGCGAGACGTCCGAGAAATAAGTGTGTTAGTAGTGAATACTGATGCTACAACACTGTGTTCATCGCTCCTTTCATCATAATTGTATACATATTTTCATATTTACATCACGTTATATGTGGTTTGTAAACATACTGTATTTTTGTTAGTCAAAACTATAAAAAACATCATATACCATGTTTAATATACATGTTTCTTTACACCTTTGGCTGCAGCATCTTCTGGAATATATTATTCCCACCGAGATTAGAGATGTATAGAAAAAATGTTATATTTCTAGTAAGAAAAAGTGCTGTTCTCTTCTTGTATACATATGCAATTTTCCTCTCCCACCGAGAGACCGGGGCCAGATTCACGAAGCAGTTACGCAAGCACTTACAAACCTGTACATCTTTTCTCAATTTTTGGCGGCTTTGTTTACAAATATTAAAACAGTTAATGAGCTCCGAAGCACCAGGAGGCTGTTTATAACAATAACAACAGTTGATTGGGAAGTTTTCATACTTGTAAACTCTGTAATAAATGTAACCAAAGCCATCAAAGATTAATGAAAGATGTACACGTTCGTAAGTACACTTGCGTAACTGCTTTAAGAGTCTAGCCCATGAAGCTTTATAAAGCAATACAAGCAATAGTCTCGTATGACACTGTTCCAGGGAAAGCCAACACCACATACATGAAGTCAAAGAGAGAGAGAGAGGCCTCTGTAGAGCCGGGTGTCCCTGGACATGCACCAGACTAATGAACAAGCTGGGTGGCTAGCTGGGCCTCGGGTTACCTGGGTTGCCATCTGATAGCGAGCTAGTGTTACTATTTGGTGATTTTGCCATCTTCTTGAGGTTATCTTGAAGGCTTTCGGGGCTTAGCGTCCCCGCGGCCCGGTCCTCAACCAGGCCTCCTTTTTGTTACACATTCCCAGGAAGCAGCCCGTAGCAGCTGTTTAACTCCCAGCTACCTATTTACTGCTAGGTGAACAGATGCATCAGGGTTAAAAAAAACTGCCCATTTGTTTCTCCCTCCACCGGGGATCGAACCCGGAACCTTAGGACTACGAATCCCAAGCTCTATCCACTCGGCTGTCAGGGCCCCTGGTAGCAATTGTTTGCATTGTCCTCCAGATTACAAATGTTTTCAAGCAATTGCTTATTTTTGAGTTCTAGTTTGCTTTTTGGAGCATTTTCAATTATGAAGGAGTACACTGCAACTTGTAAACTCGGCTAAACAGGAGTACACTTGTATACTTGTAAACTCGGCTAGATTTTGCATATTTAGACTCCATGTACAGTACTGGAATTTAATTTCCTTTTTATGTAGCTTGGATTTCATTGATTAGAATTCAGACCCAGAAAAGGGCTAAGTCCAGCTCTCAAGATGCGACGTAAACGAAAAAAAAGAAATGGAATACAAGCATTAAATAATATGAAGAGTGAACATGAACAATGAACATGAACAGGCGTGTCATATCAATAGGAAATTGAGTACATGTGGCAGAGTGCTGGTTGGTAAATTTATCATAGTATGTGACAGTTTGTTTATTAGTAGATATGTCATAGTATGTGGCAGGGCTGATTGGTAGATATACAGTATTTTTTTTTTTTTTTTTTTTTTTTTTTTTTTTTTTATTATTTTCTACCACAGACGTGGCCACACATTTACAATGCTAACCAGCATATATACATTTTCTTCTGTCCTCCATGGACAGGGTTAGAGAAATGTTAAACATAGAGTTCAAGGGTTTATTGAACACTCAACCACAGAAGGTGATTCGGTGCTTTTAAAATGCTAAGCTAACCTACATACGTAAATACATAGATACACAGATTTACGTATGCCCTACATAAAGTGTTTGATGTGTCTTTTACATAGTGTCATTAATGTACATTCACAAAGGTGAAATGTAATTCTGATCAGCTTCCATATATACTTTATACCCATACATATACATACATATATACACACACATGCATTCACATACATCTGTCTCATTTACTCTGACAGGGTGAGATAGCTGATAAAGAAACTAGTGTGCAATTAAGCACTTAATCACTGAAGGTGATGAAGGTGCTTTTACAAGCTCAGGTTATATAGTTACATCATATAACATTGAATAAATGATATATTGAATATAACATTGAATAAATGATATATTGAATATAACACTGAATAAATGATATATTACATGGTCAATCTTGGATACAAGTTGGAAAGTAAAGTTTCTGATTGTGAAAATCGGAACATTCTACAAGATTTGGTGTACATGAACCTTTACAAGATTTGGTGCACGCGAGTCTTCATGGAGGCGCCAAATAACTATACACATGAAGTGTGAATTTTAGTGTTACTATGTGTACCTGTAGCATGAGGTTCAGATGCTGTGTGGCAGTAACCTTTAATATGTCAAAAGTTATGTTGATTGTCTTTAATGGTAGTACATATGCAAAATGCTTGTATGGTGCATGCATTTTGATTGTTGTTGATGTATAGTCATTGTTCCAAAGTTATTCTATAAGATTTGTTAACAGTATAATTTTTCTTGTGAATTTTGTTAAACAATAGGAACCATATGCATTTGGCGAGTCTCAGTAATGTGGCTGAAGATAGGAATTTTGTTTATTTTACCTTCTTCTTGAGATCTTGAGATGATTTTGGGGCTTTTTTTTAGTGTCCCAGCGGCCCGGTCCTCAACCAGGCCTCCACCCCCAGGAAGCAGCCCGTGACAGCTGACTAACTCCCAGGTACCTATTTACTGCTAGGTAACAGGGGCATTCAGGGTGAAAGAAACTTTGCCCATTTGTTTCTGCCTCGTGCGGGAATCGAACCCGCGCCACAGAATTACGAGTCCTGCGCGCTATCCACCAGGCTACGAGGCCCCCTTACTTACATTTCCTTTACCTGATTCTCATATTATTTCCTTTTCTCTTATTCTTACTTTTTTCTTTCATCTTATTCTTACCTTTTTCTTTCCCTTAAATGCTTCTCACGTTGCATCTCACTTTCTGGCTTTTATTTCTCTCTTCCACGAATTGGTAATAGTCCACGACGGACCGAAATGTTGTCGCTTCTTCATTTTCTGTTGTATGGTTTGTCGTTTGGTCGTCATTTGTTAAACAGTATACAAGAATATCGTATATATATACAGTATAACGTTTTAAATAGATTCTTCCTTGAATACAGACTTAATGTGTGAACAAAAGGTACATATAGCATGTAGCTTTTCAGGATGAAAAGCTACGTATGACATGTAGTAAATACAGGATGAGTGTGTTGTGGGTGGTATCTTGTCTTATTATGTAACACAGTTTTGAAGTTTTTTTTTTTGTATTGGTTATCTTGAGATGATTTCGGGGCTTTAGTGTCCCCGCGGCCCGGTCCTCGACCAGGCCTCCACCCCCAGGAAGCAGCCCGTGACAGCTGACTAACTCCCAGGTACCTATTTACTGCTAGGTAACAGGGGCATTCAGGGTGAAAGAAACTTTGCCCATTTGTTTCTGCCTCGTGCGGGAATCGAACCCGCGCCACAGAATTACGAGTCCTGCGCGCTATCCACCAGGCTACGAGGCCCCCACATTGGTACACACCATCTTTTCTATAAGCTTATTTCATCTATTTGTGCAGGAGAATTTTCACACTTTTATGACAGATTTGGTTTTGTAATTTGTACTTTTGTTCTTGTTTTTAAAAATTCCTACTTATTTCATCTAAAATCTTGATAATTTTTGTATGTAGTGGTCATATCTCGTCTCCCTATTGTCTATAAGTTTGGACATGTTTAGTACCTCCAACGTACCTCATTGCTCCTATTCCAACCCATCCTCCTGTTTATATAGTCCCTGTTGTGACGGTCGTCAATAGTTAGAATTCGTACGTTCTTAGCTCTTAGATAGTAGTATACTGACTAATAAGGAATTCTTTTAAAATAAATGAAGTTAAAGCACCAACTGAAATATTCCTAGGCCTAGTATAGCACACATGTACTATATTAGGCCTCAGATATCGTGTGTAGGCAGGTTATCTTGAAGTTATCTTGAGATGATTTCGGGGCTTTTAGTGTCCCCGCGGCCCGGTCCTCGACCAGGCCTCCACCCCCCAGGAAGCAGCCCATGACAGCTGACTAACACCCAGGTACCTATTTTACTGCTAGGTAACAGGGGCATAGGGTGAAAGAAACTCTGCCCATTGTTTCTCACCGGCGCCCGGGATCGAACCCAGGACCACAGGATCACAAGTCCAGTGTGCTGTCCGCTCGGCCGACCGGCTCCCTGTTAGGTTAGGATAGGTTAGTTTAGTTTGTCAAAGCAACACTAGTAAAAAATAGTTTTCCAGTTTGTCCAACTCAATTGTTCAGATTTCTTTCTAATTTCGTTGTACGTCAATATATACTATGGTTCTCATTGTTAATATAAGTACTACCAAAACATGGGGGCTGGGCTGCTTATGAGATCACGAGCCATATAGTAGCATCTCTCTTCACGCATGTTTGTGTACCCTTTTTTATGTTTGTGTTTGAGATATGGACACCAAGCAACCGTGTATATGAATATTATATTGAGAACGCATGCTTGGGAGGGGGGAACATATTTTTGTATAAAAAAAAATTAGCTTTTTAATCTATATGGAGAATTTCAAATATCATAACTATAATTATGCATAATGAATACATGCATATTATGAAGAGAAAATGTGTGAAAATTTGGTGATCACTTTTAGAAGATAATAAACTTGTACAGAAAATAAGTTGTAGTAATATGGCTGAAAGAAAGCCAATGGTCATATGAAAGAGTTACAACATTGTTGTCCATCCTATATGAGGGATCAGAACAATCTGAAATGGCATCACTTTTTTCCCCACTTCGTGTATGTGTGTGTGTGTGTGTGTGTGTGTGTATGTGTGTATGTGTGTGTGTGTGTGTGTGTGTGTGTGTGTGTGTGTGTGTGTGTAATTACCTAAGTGTAATTACCTAAGTGTAGTTACAGGATGAGAGCTACGCTCGTGGTGTCCCGTCTTCCCAGCACTCTTTGTCATATAACGCTTTGAAACTACTGACGGTCTTGGCCTCCACCACCTTCTCACTTAACTTGTTCCAACCGTCTACCACTCTATTTGCGAAGGTGAATTTTCTTATATTTCTTCGGCATCTGTGTTTAGCTAGTTTAAATCTATGACCTCTTGTTCTTGAAGTTCCA